GCAAGGAGGGCTTGTGGGAGACAGGTTTATCTGTACCTACGAGAGCAATGTATGGTGAGGTAAGAGTCTTAGGTACCACCTCTCCTTTTCTCTCGCTAGCTACTTAGAATGGTCGGCTCACAGGGGAACCTCTCCTTTCCTCTCGCTAGCTACTAAGAATGGTCAGTCAAGTCCACGTACATAATGCTTCGTCCTAAGGTAAATATAAAGGATAAAATAGAAGACCGATGGATGAGACACTTAAATGTCAGCAAATAAGAATTGCGACCAGTCAAGTGATTCCATACCATGAAATCTGGACCTGCGAAAATGACATCGCTGCAATGGCAAATCGCTCATCGTTGCTTACCCAATAATGACTGGATTATTGACAGAACCTCGCTTGAACACAAAAGAATAGCCCTACCCAGGTGTAAGTTTCACAAATTAGCGTTCCCTTCCAAACTGGTTCCGAAAACTCTAGAACACATTTTCTTGCAATGCCCAGGTTCTATATGGCTATGGCGTTGGTGGGACAGGATTTGGAACTATGTAGAAACATCCCTCCCCTGGCCATGGAACTGAAAAGTTCTTCTCCTTGAGTCGTGGAACCCAATCCACATGGATAATTTCACATCAAACCTATTTACAACTGGAAGAAGAGTGGTTATGTGGGCATTATGGATTCGTAGGTGTACTTATGAGATAGAAGGTCCTCGTCTTGATGGTCCCGAATTTACAGAAACCATTAAGCATCAAATTCAAGTAGAAATTACTACCAAATGGGAGACCCTAAAGGAAACCCTTCAATTTTTGACTTAAAAAAATGACATTAAGCAACACATCAAGACCTGTGTAGCACACCGAACATGTTCGGAGCTTTTCCGAACGTCCGAACATGTTCAGGTGTTCGGCCGAACATATTAAAAAAAAAAGGAAAAAAAAAACTTTTGTTTTGGTTTTTGATTTTAAACTCGAGTTTGTTTACGAATTTTGGCATACATCTAAGGCAAAAGTTGTTTGTATTATTATTTTACATCACATATATTTTGTTCAGATTTTTTGGAGAATTGTTTTTTTTTTTATTATATATTTTTATGTTCGCGTTCGGAGAGTTTTGGCGCTAGTTTGCGTTCGGTCCCGAACGTTCGGGTTCGGTCACAAAACCCAAACACAATGCTACACAGATCAAGATATTCAATCAGAACTGGCTTGGAGGGGACCAAGGAGGGAGTTTCGGGCAAGTGAAATGGGAAGGAATACTAGAGAATGCTCAAGTCGAGTTCCAAGAAACTACCGCTTACTCTTAAATGATTGGAGTAACATCGATCTCATCATCCCAATGAGACCACTATCAGATTTTTCGGATCTTTTTCCCCAACCTGGGCTGCCTTTGGTTCCCAGGTCATTGTATGCGCTTGACTTTGAATGAACAACATTGTTCCCTTCGAAGGGCTTTCTCTCACTTTTTAGGCTCTCACTCAGATAAATAGGATGAAAGTGATAGGTTGACATGCATATCTGGCGCCCGTCCAGCATGAAGAGGCGCAGGATCTAAAACTACTTACCTTTACCTTTCCTTATGCTCACTATCATCTTCTCAGAAGGGACGTTGGACCTGGTTCCCAGCATGAGTTGTACCATGTAGATTCAGTGCTAATGATGTAAAGGGACGCTGGACCTGTTTTTCAGCACGTGCAGCTCCCCACCTATAGAACAGAGTCATCTGTCAAGCGGGTATAGTAGAGGGGGTGTCTGCTCTTATCAACACGTCCTCTACTCCCCATCTATGTGATACCCGCGGCCTAGGCCGCGGGCATTTCGGCCGCTGCGGCCGAAAAAGTCGGCCTCGGCCGCGACCCATTAGGCCCAGTCCGCAGCCTGTTTTTTTAATTATTTTTTTTACCCCTAAAAATACGTTAAAAAAAATAAACAAATATAAGGTTATAGGGCTTGAAAAACCCTACAATCCTATGTTTTTTATTTTGGAATCGGACTTCGTTTAAAATTAAAAAAAAAATAAAAAGTAAAATTTGATTTAAACAAAATATTAAAAGAAAAAGAAAAAGAAAAGCAGGATTTTTTTTTTGTCATTTTTTATCATGCGGGATATGGTCCCTGAGTTGTGCTGTATTTTTTTTAGAAATGAATTTCGGTTTTTTGCAGGGAAATTAGGTGTTCAAAAAAAAATGAGATGCAAAATTGAAAACAAATAAACAAAAAAGGGGTTTGATTGATTGATTGGTTGATTGATTTGCTTTGATTGATTGATTTGCTTTGATTGACTGATTGATTGATTGTGTGTGTGTGTGTGTGTGTGTGTGTGTGTGTGTGTGTGTTTGTACCCTAGTGTGTGTGTATGTGTGTCTATGATGTGCGATGTGCGCGTGTGTGTGTGTGTGTGTGTGTGTGTGTTTGTGTGTGTGTGTGTGTGTGTGTGTGTGTGT